CGAGCATCTCCATCACTGCCGAATCATCACCACTACTTAATTCGATTGTCAATCCCAGGGAATTGCTAAGTCCGTTTAAGTTCTTCAACCACCCAAACTTTTTCAATGTGATTATGAATTTTTTTCAATGTGACAAGGCTGGTTAACTGGGCTAGTCCTTGATGGTATTGCTTCAAAGAATCGGTACCTTCATAATAGAGGTGTTTGAGATTTACGAGCCTATGGATCCCTTGGGGAAGTCGAACAAGACTCCCGCATGAAATGATATTCAAGCTTTCTAATTCGCGCAAATTGCACATGCTCTCCGGCAACTCCTCTATAAGTTTATTAGAGCTTAAGTCCAGTTATTTCAATTGAAACAAATTCCCAATTTCATGCGAAATCTCTTTTAGCTTGCACCCTTGCACCAAAAGAAATTGCAAGCTGTAAAGTTTACAAATGCTCTTTAGATCATTTTCGGCGATAAAGTTATTCCAATTCAAATTCAACCACCTTAAGTGAATTAACTTTTCTATTTCTTTCGGAATGCCTCGCATGCCACATCTCCTTAGGCTTAGTAACCTCACACTTGTGAGGCCATCACAAAGATGTGGATCGTAAAGTTCTTTGGTGAGAAATAAGCTACGGTATTTTTCGACTCGGGAAACTAACAAAGTGCTACAGGTTTGGCAATTTGTTTCCCTCATTCTTGACCCCACATTCTTTCTAAGAAATTGAGCAAAATCATGTATTATATCATGCATCTTAAATGATGCTATCCACTCCTCATCCAAATTTGATGTGTTGCTAAAGTCTTGAAACAAAGAACGCATTGCTAACTTATCAAAATACTCTCTCCCTCTAACTTCCCAATCACTACCGTATCCTAGGTAACCCATTGCAAACCATATTCTTATTATGTCTGCCACGATAATTTCGGTATATTTAGGAAAGCAATATGAGAAACAACGCTGAAGCGTTGGGGACAATTCTTTGTAACTTAGAAGCAAATGGGGGAAGAGGTCATCTTCTACCTCCTCCAATTCCCATATTTCACTATTCAATACGTTGTCCCATGCTTCCACATTATTCTTAAACTGCAAAAAACTTCCCAAAGTCTTTGCTGCAAGTGGCAACCCATTGCACTTATGGCTATATCCCTATCTATGTTCTGGAATTTTTCATGTTCCTTCTCGTTCTTTCCAGAAAGCGCTA